GTGGGGATGATAGTTTTTGTTGTCTGCACTTAAATCTGGCTTCTATGATGCTGAGCCTTGGCTGTTGTGTGCTGGGTCTCCAGCACCAACCTAAAGCAGAGTGCAGAAAGTGAATGGTGGTGTGGGAGAGGCAAAGTGGATCACAGGTTTGGCTCTTGACAGTCACAGAAATCAGGCAATAGGAATTTAGCCAGGAAGCATCCACAAAATCTCTACTCCACATGCTGCAGTGCCCAGACACAGAGCTGTACAGAAGCACTAAAGTAGGAGTGCCAGAACTGGAGCTGTTTTGTGTGCCTCGGCAGAGAAGCAGAGCAGATCAAGAGCATTTCTCCTTGCCTGGTTCCAGTAATAGCAGGGAATTTGGCAAGGGGTTATAGGGAGCTGTTGGCTTGCCTGCAGACGTGCCTCTCCGTCTGGTTGTCTCTCTCTCCCCCTGAATGTCCTCCTTTGTGCTGGCTGCTGTGCAGCTCAGCCAGTTCCACATTATCTGGGTTGCCTACCTCTGGGCTTTGTCTTTGCTGTTGCAGAGTGTCAAAGGGCAGCTGAGCCACTGCCCTCCAACCTGCTCTAGTGTTTGTGGCAGCAAGGTATTGCACAGGATGTGACTGGGTGGTACCCTTTGCTTGGCACTCAGCTCGTTCTGTGACTGCTGCCTTGGACAGGCTTTAGTTCCCCGTGCCATCTGTGTCCTGATGGGCTTTGTCGTCCCTGGAGGAGTTCAAGGAGCCCAGCACTCAGGAGGTGCAGCAATGGCTGTCCTTATTTCCATGATGCTGGCAGGGAAACCCTCCATGTCCAACGCATGGATACCTGCAGGACAAGAGTTCCCCAGCCCTGTCTCAGAACTGCACCTGCCCTGTGCATGCAGATCTGTCACTCAACAAAATGCAGTCAGAGCAGAGCTTGTGACCGTCCCAGTGCTGCTCCTGTCCTGCGGTGCTGGTGGCAGGAACGAGGGGCCAGGCTGTGCTGGGAGGACTAAGAGCAGAGAGCTCCTGTGTGTGTGGTGGTGGAGGACTGGCTGAACTTATCTGGCCAGCACACATCACTGCAGTTTCACTGCACTGTGACACAGAAAAACCCAGGCCTCAGGACGGCAGCTACAGTGAGACATCACAGAGCCTCACCGGCAAAAGCCATTGATTTCCCAGTCCTGGGGAAGAGCTCAGTGGCATCCCTCTGACAGAGGCTTTGAGGAAAAATAACTTTCCACACTCTGAGAATTATATCTCGGCTAGACTGAGATTCAGAGGTCATTTAGAGGAACAGAGTCCAAATTGCACAAACAGTGGAGGGAAAAGGAGGTGGTGTTACTTTCTGTCAGAAATCTTCTTTACCCTAGGAGTTGGGTGTGGTGAATTCGCCCCAAGAGGCTAGGGGGTTTTGAAGACCCTGGAATTCATAATTATTAATGTGGGTCTCATAATCCCCTCATAATCCCCTGCCTGCATGGGGAGAGGAGCAGGGATACAGAGCCTGCTGCAGTGTTCATTGGTGCTAATGGGCAGGAGAGAGAGAGGATGAGACCTTGGATTGTCAGCCTGCTGGAGAGCTCAGCACAGGCTGTTCTGCTGGAAAAGGAGAGAATTATGGCTGTAAAAATCACTAAGAGATTAAAAAAAAAAAAAAGTCATAACAGAATAATCTCTTAATGTGTGTAATTGAAGGGAGAGAGGCAGTGAAAGCTCAGGCAGGGGCGTGAGGGATGTGTCAGAGATGGGCAGTGCACACAGGGCCGGGGGGGATTTCTCCTCACCCCTCTGTCCAGCGTGGCTGCTGTCAGTGCAGGATGTGCTGCCTGATCCTGCCCTGCCAGGGCCAAGCAGGAACATTCCCAGCTGTCCAGCTGAGCTGGGTGTGAAGGAGCCAACAACCTTCTTCCATCAGCATCACTCATTCCCCTGAAAGCAGGCCCGTCTCCACACAGACGTGAGCTCTGTCTGCTGGAGCAGGTGATTTTTACCTTCTAAAAGCAGGAAAGCACTCACCAAGTTTTCTCTGAACTTTATTTTTCATGGCTTTCCATAAAGCTGAGATGGTGCTGGCAATGAAATAAATCCCTATTTTAGCTAATTTAGAGTCCAAACAACAAAACCCAGCAGCATTTTGACCAGAGGTTGCATTTCTGATCTGAATAGAACAGTCTGATAGAATAGTCAAGGGGCCACTGCTAACTGGTTTTTACAGGTCATGTAGCTCAAAAATGGGGATAATGAAGGGGATTTTATAGCTCAAAATAAGCAAAAACTCATAAAAAGCTAGCTCACAGTATGAGATACGTGAAGCTGTGGCTCTAGGCAATTCGCCTTCTGAATATAAGAGGAAAAAAATATGCTTGAAGATGTTGTCTCTTATGGAGATATGTCTGTTCTGTCTGAACATAAGTTCTTCTGGATTAAAAACCATACTGTACCACCTGCTAGGAAGAAAGTGAATGTTATCTCACAGATACAACAGTGGTCATGACAGTGAGATTCTCTCTCCCTTCCTTTAAAGCCGTGGGCATCTTGTACAGTTCAAGAAACCCAACCCTTTCTAAAAGTTCAATATAACCTATGGGACTTACTAGCTGTGTATCAATACAGCAAATTGCATAGCCAGGTGGAAAAAAAGAGTTGGATGTTTAGATGAAGCAAGACTGCAACACTAGGAGAAGTATATTAAATTAAAGAATGCTTCCTTTTAGTCTCCAGCTGCCGTGGAGGCAGTGCTCCAGGTGGCTGGGCCAGCTCTATGAGGAGGTGCAAGCTGACCCAGGGACTCTAACGCTGCTTTTCAGGTGCTCCATCCCCATGACCATCAGTTCTGATGCAGCCCCTGGTGATGCAGGAATGGCTCTATGTCCTCCCGCGATGTCCTGAGTGGCACATCCCGGACCAGGCGCAGCACAGCAGCACTGCCCGCCCGCTGTCTCAGGTAAGAGCTGGCTCTGGGTGTCTTTCTCTGGCAGCTTTTTGCAGAGGTTGCAGATTCCTGTGGGGCAAAGCAGGCCCTCTGTTCCTGGTGGCAGGGAAGGCTGTCAGCTCCAGCCCCCCGTTGGCTGCACTTCAGGAGAGCGTGTGTTCTCCTCCAGCTCTCTGGCTGCAAAGTGTTTCCCAAAGTAGGGGAAGAGAGACAACCTGCAGAGCTGGATTTCAAGGCTCTTTCATTATGAGGAACGAGAGGCTACTGTTAACAGCTCTTATGTATTTGGTTGGGCTATTTTTTTTCTCCTGGAAACTTGGAAGAATGTCAGCTTTTGGTGATAATGTAGGTTTTCTACTCTTCCTGGCTGCAGAGAAGAGCTTGGAAATAAGCTCCTGGTGGATGCTGAAAGGAGAGGAGGAATCTGACCTCTTGCTAATCTAGTTAAATTGAGGGACAGATCTTGGTCTCCCTCCTCCTTCCCCCAGGGTCTCTGAACCTCAGGCCAGGCTCCTCACCAGAGGGGGAGGGAAGGTCTCTGGGGACCCCTGGGTAAATGGCAGAGCAGAGTGAAGAGCAGAAAGGTGTGCTGGCAACTGTCTGCAAAGCTGCCTGCGCTCTGCATGGAGCTGCCCTGAGGTGGTTTGGCACCTCTGGTTTGGGGAAATGCTCTGCCAGGTCATGGATCCCTCTTTGCCAGTTCTGGTCCCAGGCTATCTCTCACCTGACTGGACACTGATGGACAGTGCCAAAGGTTCCCCTGGGCACTGGCAGTGAGGTCCCAGCTCTGCCTTTTCCTTTTTTGTCGTGCTTCAAGAATGAATAGCAAGGGCTGAGCTGACCGTCAGCCTGGACCCATTCTGCCTCAGGGAGCTGGGACCTGCAGCAGGAAGGCAGAGCTGTCTCTGGAGAGGCTCCAGCATGCAAGGCTGAGGCAGGGGGACAGTCTCTTGGTGGCTGAGTCAGGGTTTCTTGGCCCCAGGGTGGCTGTTACAATGCTGCTGCCGGGCCAGTGCACGGGTGGTTGATAAACAGCCGGGCAAATGAAGTGAGGAGGGAGAGGGAAAGAACAAGATGAGCAGGGAAAAGCCTTCCTGACCTGCCTGAGCAGTCCAAGCCTCTGTGAGGGGATCAGAGCCCTTTGGGATTTGCTGGGAGAGAGGAGGGGACTGGGAGCAGGAGCAGCGTTAATGGCAGCTCCCCTTGTTTGAAGGGGCTGCTGTTGCCATCTAGGAAACAGCCTCCCTCTCTTGTCCTTGCTAGTCCTGAAAGCTCCTGGCAGGCTGCAGACAACCTTAGCTGTGTCCTGGCCTCACTGAAGCCCCCTCCTCCAGTGTGGGAGCTGCTCTCCCATCTCTTGGGCCCGATACGTGCTGAGGACAGGAGCTGGCTGTGCTGGTCCCACAGGGAGGGACAGCACCCGTCAGATGTGCAGGCAGGGAAGGAGGGGAAGAGAGGGAGAGATACTGGGAGCTTTTCTTTCCCTCCCTGTAGGTGGAAGAGAGCATGATAAAAATTCTGGGCGTCAGGACTGTGGGGGACACAAGAAGCCAGCCCAGAGCTTTTTGGCAAAAAGCAACTATTTGCACTTGGTCCAGGCTGGCATGAACATCTGCTGGTACCCGACACTGTGCTGGGGCACGTGGGGGACAACAAGGGCACCCTTGACTTTTTTGGGATTAGATCTCAAGAACCTATTTACCTTCTGGGTCACTGAGGCTTGATGGGATGATTTCCTGGATAAATCCCTTCCCTGGCAAACACCCCTGTCTGCTCTGGATGTGCTCCAGCATCTGAGCCAAGCTCTCTGCTGCTCATCCCAGCGCATCCCCTTTGCCCTGCCCTTGCAGGGATGGATCTTCCCCAGTGCCCAGGGCGATGACCCTGCACACGCCTGGTGTCCCACCTGGGGTTGCCCTGCAGCGGGCACATCTCTGCCCGCCGTGTGCTTCGAGGGCAGCCACGGGGTTAAGGCAGGTTGGAGGCCGCTGGAATGCCGCTGGACAAAGCTGGGATTGAGGCTGCCTGTGAGGCACTGCCGCCCCCCTCCACATTCCTGGGGGGTCAGTGGCCAGCTCTGCCGGGCACCCGGTGCCTGCCCGCTGCCCTCCTGGCTGCTGCCGCTGGCAGCCGGCGGGGCAGGAGCGATGCTGCTCCTCCGGCGGAGCTCCGGGGCTGAGCGCAGAGAGATGCACTGGCCACAGCCTGCGTGAGTGTTCCGTGCCCGAAAATAAACCTGTTCCAGGCTGGAGGGGGAGTGGGGGTCCGGGCTGCTGCTGCTGGGGCTCTGGGGAAGGGATGCTCAGAGGGAAAGCACTTATTTCTCCCTCTGCTCGCTCGCAGGGGTTTTGTCCTAGGGACGCAGATGTTCAGCACCTGCTCTCTGTTTGGTCACTGCTACATGATTATCTAAGGGGCTTGGGAGTTACAGGCATGGTGGGCTTTTAACTTATTTAATAAGGCTGGGAGGACTGTGCTGTCTGCAGAGCTGTGCTGCAGTTGCACCCAGGTAGAGCTGATCCCTTCCTTTGGTATCCCCTGGGGTAGAGGGGAGGGCTGGAGCATTCCCTGGCAGTGCTGTGGGACTGACCTACTTCAGTGCCAGGAGCACCTGCACATGCAGAGTATTGATTTTCCTATGTGCAAGCAGCAGCTTTAGCTTGAGTGGATCATTATTCGTGCCCCCAAGAAGCCTGTGAACTCTGTGGGTGATGGTTTTCTCTGTTTTCTTCGTGTTCCTGGAGTGGCAGGATGGGAAGGCAGAGAACAGCCTGTTAGATGTTTTTAGATGAATCAAACTTAGCACCAGTCTTGGCGATCATTTGATTTTTCTCTGAGAACTGGTGTGGAGGGGGTATTTTTAGCTGTGCAGCCAAATTCCTTGTCTGGTTGTTTTCTCCTGCCTGTTGTTTTCCTTGGCTTGGCTGAATCCCTTCTCCAGACACCTCCATGAGCCCTTGGACAGCACAAGTGACAAGAATCTACTCATTCCCCTTGGAAGAGCTGCTGCTTTTCCCCCAAGGCAGCTGCCCTTATCTGGCCTGTTGTATGCTGTTTAGAAAGTACTAACACATTTAATTATGGTTGATTAAGCACCTGGGGATAATTACCTCAAGCGAGCTCTAATATCAAAGCAGCATTCGATCGAAACGTTGCTGTTTCTCCAACACAGCTCACTGATGTCTCACTTACGGGGAAGTGTCCACGTGTTTTGCTCAACAAACCGTGTATTTTGGAGAGAAAATCCCCCCTCACTCACTGAGTCCTGTGTGAGGGGCTTCTGATCCTGCGTGTTGCTGTCACCAGGACGTGAAGCAGAGTGCTTTGTGAGCAGGGGCATGATACAGTGCTAAAGGCTCAGGAGAGGATTCCAGCAAGGATTTGTTGTCCAGGGATCAGAACCCAGTTTTTCCAGCTGGACATGCTCCCCTTGTATGGCTGGCTTAGGATTTGCTGTCTTCTCTCCATGGCCTTTTGCAGCACCCTTCCCACGGCTGCTCATTCTGGAGAGCTGCGGAGGAGAAGCAGCATCTGTGGAGGAGAAGTGGCTTCTCAGATTTGCCACGCAGGCAGGGAATATCCTGGAGCCTTTGTAGAGGAGCAGGTGGCAAGTCCCAGTATTGGGGATGGCAAAAAGGATGTTGGCAGATCCCCTTGGTCCCTAGGAACAGCAGGATCAGCCTCCTCTCAAAGCACAGCAGCTCTGTATAACATGGGAAAAATCATCATTAGCCCTGCAGGCACTGTGACACATAAGGACCAGCTCTGGCTTAGCAGCTCTCAGTGAGATAAGCTCATTGCTGGATAACTGAGGAGAACAGGAGATGTGCAGCAAGCCCTCCCTTAAACCTTTGCCCTTAGTGCTCCTGGAGCTGGCACCGCATCCTTCTTCCAGAGACAGCCAGGAGTTTCCTGGGAGCTGCTAGCAGACCACTTAAGGAGAAGACAGCTCCCTTGAGAGTTGAAAAGCCAGTCAGGGTTAGGGCAGAGTGGGGTGGGTGTCCCCAGGTGAGTTCCCATAGCACCAGGCAGCAATCTCTGGATGCAGCGTGGTTCTGTTTCTGCCCAGGTTGAAGCCTCGCAGGATGGTGCAGGACCTTCGTGTGTAACCCCCCGGGCTCCAAGCAGTGCTGCCGGGCCCCAGGCCCCTCTGGAGATGAATCTTTGCTGGAACGAGATAAAAAAAAAATCCCACAGCCTTCGGTAAGAGTCCTGCCTGGAGCAAACTCCAGGCTAGCCTGGCCTTCCAGCCCTGCCTGCTGCTTGTGATTGTCAGGAGGTTTTTGAACTTTTTTGCTTGATGAACCACATGAATTCACAGTGACCTTGGCTCAGCTCCCCCTCTGGTGCACAGACTTTTGCATCTCCTTTTGCTGGAAAGCATCTCCTCTATTTCTACCCATCCCATCCTCTTCTCCCTCCTGCTTGCTTTCTGCTGCTCGCTCTATCCTCTGCCACCTCTGCAGTTGTCTCTTTTTGCCCCAAGGCTTTGCCTCCACCTCCTCTGTGCCTTTCCCTTCCCTGGGAGCCCTCTCCACTGCGTGAGGGGAACATGCCTTCCAGACTGTCAGAGTTTGCAGCTCCACAGCCAGCATGACAGAGAGCTTAACTGGGGCGTGTTAATTGTCTCCTGCCTTAATCCAAGGCTCCTGGAAGCTGCCCAGACATGTAAATGCCATTCCAAGCCCCCCTTGCTAGCCAGAGCAGTTCTGACCCACAGGCAAACACAGAATGAGTGTCCTCTACTCTGGGCTCCAGGGTGAGGAATAGCTTCAGTTTCTTGTCCCCGGTGCCTCCATGCCTCACCCCACCTGGCAGTGCAGCCTCTCTGCTGGCTGGGGGTCATGCACAGCCCGTGCTCAGGTGTGCTACCAGTCCCTGAGGATGTCCTGGGGGTCAGCACCCAGCCATGGTGCTGTGCTTCCCCTCCTCAGGGAACCTGCTCCTCTCCTGTCTGTCCGTCTGTCATCTCACTGTCCTTGCTGTCCTGCCAGGGCTCGGCTGGAGGCCTTCTCTGACCACAGTGGGAAGCTGCAGGTGCCTCTCCAGGAGATCATCGACTGGCTGGGGCAGAAGGATGAGGAGCTGTCGGCACAGCTGCCCCTGCGGGGTGATGTCCTCCTGGTGCAGCAGGAGAAGGAGACACACGCGGTGCGTTCCTCGTGCCTCCCCTGTTCTACTGTGATGGGCTGTGCTGGGCAGCCCTGCTTGGGACCCCTGCCTCGTGTCACTGCCATGCCACAGCCTGTGGGTGCACCACTCCTTGAGTGTCTCCATCTCTGCTTCCTGAGAAAAGGCAGAGCCCATCTGGTTTTAGACAATAAACTCACGCTGTAGCCTCAAGTCACCTGCAGCTGGTAGTGAACCCTGTCATTTGTAGTGGCTTCCCTGTGCCCTACCTCTGACTGGCCTCTGCTTTTGGGATCCTGGAGCCTGAGAAGGCTGGTTGATCTAGGGGTAATCCTGTGGCTGGGACATGAGTGATGCCTGCAGGGACATGTTATCATCATATCTGAACCTGGGGTATACCCGGGCAGATCAGAGTTTCCTGCTCCCATGTTCACAGCATTTTCTTCTCACTGCCAGTGGCTGTTGGGCTTTAGTTGTTTCTACCTTGAAAACAAAATTTAAATGTTTACTGCTGCTGTCCCTCATCCTTGCTGGGGCTTCCCAACACACAGCCCAGCCAGCAGACAGCACTGGTGTGGGAGCTGTGGTTGAAGGGGAGGAGAGGACATACAAGACTAGCATGCCTCTGAAGTCTTCTCTGGCAGATGTGCTGCTTTGAGGCATCCTGCTGTTCCTCTCCTTGCTCCTGCAGCAGCTGGACCTGTTGCTGAGCAGCTGCTGGAAGGGTTGTTAGCGTGGCCATGCTTTCACTGGATGAGTGAAGAGCATCTCCAAGCAGTGCATCTGAAAGCACCATAAATAAAACAGCTCCTCTTGTGCAGCCCTGGCTCAACATGCCACTCTGGGCTTGCAGTTCTGTGTCCACACTCCAGCAAAGCTGCAGGCCAAACCTCTGCAGGAGCCACCTTCTGGCAGGTGGTCATTCCTTCCCTGAACTGCAAAAATATTTCTCTTAACACTGACTTCTCTCTGTGCCTCCAGTGAGGTTTGGGCCTTGGGGTGAATAAAGCACTGCAGCATTTGGCAAGGGGGCAGCCAGGGCACAGCTTTTTGGCTCAGCCTGCTGTCTCATCTCTGTGCTCTACTCTCCAGGCTTTCATGGAAGAAGTGAAGTCTCGGGGACCATACATTTACTCTGTCCTGGAGTCAGCACAGGCTTTCCTTTCCCAGCACCCATTTGAGGAATTAGAAGAACCAACTTTGGAAAGCAAAGGTCTGTGGAGCTCCTCCTTTTTTTATTCTCTGGTTTCTCAGCTCCTCCTGGGCTGGCCTGGAGAGGGTGGAGTGGAGGTGGCTGCTGTGGCACAAAGCAGCATATCAGTGCTCTGCCTCACACCACTGAGCCCAGGCTGTGCCCAGTCCTTTGGCCAAAGGTCAGGCTGGTACAGAGCAGTGTCACTGTCCCTGGAAAAGACAGAGGCTCCTGGTGCAGTCCATGATGAGGGCACCTCATGAGGCAGCACCAGATGTGCTCCAGGGTAGGTTTTTAAAAGGCAGCACAGCTTCTGCCTCTGAGGATAGAGAGGCTTGATACCTAGGGGAGCGAGCTGGTGCAGAGATGGATACTATTATTACCTGTTTTCCTTCCCTTTTTCCAGTTTTCCTTAGATTTTTTTATTTCTCATTTCCCTGTCCTCCCTCCACCCCTTGCCCCACTCTCCTGTGGGTTGGGCTCTCAGTTTTGCTCCCTGTTCCCATCCTGCTTTGCCTTCACAGATGTGTCTCCCCGGCACCGGATCCAGAACATCAGCCGCTTTGTCTGGAAGCAGGCCAACGTGGCCAGTGAGCTGTGGGAGAAGCTCACGGCCCGGTGCGTGGACCAGCACCGCCACATTGAACGGACCCTGGAGCAGCTGCTGGAGATTAAAGGGGCTATGGAAGAGCTCAGCACGACCCTGGACCAGGCTGAAAGTGTGCGGGAGACCTGGGAACCCATCGGGGACCTCTTCATTGACTCCTTGCCAGAGCACATCCAGTCAACCAAGGTACTTCTGGCTCTGAGAAGGCGCCAGCCTTGGCTGTGGAGGTTCAAGCTGCTTCTCAGGAGGACAGAGCTGCTCCCATGGACTGCTCAGTGCAAGGCAGCCTCATTACCTGGGATCTCAGGGCCAAGGCCTCCTTCCCACAGCCCCTGTGCTTTGTGAGGGGAGTGTTGGCCAGCAGTGTCCTGAGCAACTGGCCATGCTGAGCGCCTCATCATGGCACAGACCTCACATAGGTACAATGGTTCAGCACAGCTGAGTCACTGTCCCCTTTTCATTTAGCAGGAGTAATCTGCAGCCTGGTTAGTTTGGTTGGGTGTTTTTCCCCCTGCTAAGACACTCTGTGGGAGGGTTAGTCAGCAGTGGCTTGGCAGCCACTAGCCCACCCTAGCTTGTAGCAAAGGAAAAAATCCAAGTCCCAGCTACTCACCTGCTTCTTCTCCTCCTTCCCCTGCTCTGTGCCTGGGCACTGGACTCCAGCTGTTCAAGGAGGAGCTCTCCCCCATGAAGGATGGGGTGAAAGTGGTCAATGATCTTGCACACCAGCTTGCCATCTCAGATGTCCACCTGTGCATGGAGAATTCCCGCACCCTGGAGCAGATCAACACCCGCTGGAAACAGCTGCAGGTGGGAAGGGGTCAGGAGCAAGCAATACAAATAAACCATGGGCAGGAGGCTGGGAAGGGCTGTCACTGCTGAGCTTCAAGGATGATAAAGTAAGGTTTGGCACAGCAGGATGTTATAGCTGGTGTTCCTGGGAGAGACGAGTGTCAGTTCAGTGTGAGGAAAGAGTCTGGTAAATCTGCAGAGACCTTGGTCAGGAAAAGGCAGTGGGAGGAGTTAAGGGAGAATCAGGATGTGTTAGTGGAGGGGGTCAGTACCAGCTGTGAGCTTTGATGTCTGTGAGAGTATGGATACAGGTGAGCTGCAGATGCGGCTGTGCTGCCTCAGCCTGGGGGAGGAGGTGTAGAGGGTTTAGCAGGCTGGAGGAAGACACAAACACCAAGACAGGAGAGGAAGGAAGAAGCATCTGTGTGCTGGGGCATGTCTGAGGCCACCCACAAGCCTTCCTGAATGGGTCATCAATCCAAAATGCCTGTTGGACTGCCAGTGAATTGTTTTTCAATTGTCCAGGCCTCCATAAATGAACGCCTGAAGCAGCTCCAAGATGCCCACCGTGACTTCGGACCAGGCTCCCAGCACTTCCTCTCCTGTACGTGAGTGGATCCCCCTGACTTCTGCCACAAGGTTGCCTCAGCAGAGCAGCCTGGGTTGTGGTACAGGAAAACAGGGTGCAAAGTCCTTTTGCTGAGCCCAGAGCCATGCACGAGGCTGGAAAAGAGCCCAGGCTGGTGCACAGGAGCCAAATCAGGAGGCTCCAAAAGTTGGCATTGTGCTGCTCACCTTGTGGGACCAAGGGTGGGATGGGAATGTGGTTTCCCTTCAGAGCACAGAGCTGTGACACTCGCAGCAGCAGCAGCTCCCACGGGACACTGGGACTGTGTCAGCCTCAGAGCAAGACAACAGATGGCAGGAAGAGGCAGTCCCTCTTATCCCATGTTAGTTATTTGGAGGCTAAAATTGTGCCTTTTCAGGAGGTTTTCATTCATGGGGCGAGGCAGAGGGATGCTGTTTTTACAGACCAGAGCTGTTGGCTGACAGTTCTCAGACTGCAAAGGGTGAGCAGCAGGTTGTGCTCTGGAGCCTGGGGTCTGTCCTTGGAATGCTGAGCCCTGCAGAGTCTCTGGATGTCAGTGGGATTTGCTGGCCTGTGCTTCTCTGCAGACTGTGTTCTCCTATCTGAAAGGAAGAATGACTTTTCCATTTGCTGGAATGGATATTCTACCTGTGAAAAAGAAAAATAAGTGAGGGTCATGCCATGGCTTCCATCCTCTATAAAACAGGGTGGCAGGCAGGTGGTATGGGATGAATCCTCATCTTCCCAAGATACTGCAGCTGGCACACAGAGCAGGAATAACAGGAACAACAGATGTTTGGGTGTCTGAGCCTGGTCATAACAGGCAGTGCTGTGTCTATGTGCCCTGCTATGAGCCCTGCCCACTGATGACCACAAGGTTGCCTTGGGCATCATCAAAGCATCAGGGAATGTCTCTTCCTGAGTTCTGAGCTCAGCCAGATACAAAGCCCCTGGCTCAAGAGGCAAGATATCTCTAACAAGACCAGCAGTCTTGAGCCTTTTTAATAGGCAGCATCCCTTGCCTGCACCAACGCCTCCAGATGGTGATTTGGAAAGTCTTTTCAGAGGCTCCCACCTGTTGGCACAGTCCTGCAGGGCTGGCGTCAGAAACAGCATCAGCTTAGAGGAGCATTTGGTGTTGATCTGACATGTGCTTCTCTCCTTGCAGCCTCTGTCCAGGTCCCCTGGGAGCGAGCCATTTCCCCCAACAAAGTGCCATACTACATCAAGTGAGTGTGTTCCCAAACACTGCCCGAGGTCTTCCCTGGCCTGGCAGGATCAGGAATTGGGCACCAATTAGGGGAGTGGGTCAGTGAATGGACTGGAGTGAGAACTCACCTCCAGTGAAGCAGGTCTTCCTCATCCTGGCAGATCCAGGATTTCCCTGCTGGGATGCCCAAGATGAGGGGAAACCCCAGCTGGAAGGAGAGGGGGCTGGCAGCAAGTGGGGATATCCTGCTGTGGGCATCCTTCATGCTGCTGTGGCTGGGGACTGTGCTCAGTCTGCAGTGTCTGCAGACACTGAAACACTTGCTCCCAGCTCTGACCAGGTCCTTTTTTTAATCTCTCATGGCAGCTTTTGGTTATCAGATTGACTCTTGGTCTCCATCTATTTTGCTTCCAGCCACCAGGCCCAGACGACGTGCTGGGACCACCCAAAGATGACAGAGTTGTACCAGACGCTGGGTAAGGAGGCTGTCACAGAACCATTCGAGTAGTCCTTGCCTTTTTGCAGCATGGGGTGCACGTGAGATTCCCCCAGGCCACCTGCTCCCTTCTGTGCCCCAGGGTCCCCCAAAGCAGTGGGGTGTGACCCCTGCCAGGCTCTGCTCCACACTCTCCTGCGTGTGCTCTGCTTCTGCTGGTGAGGCTGGGGTCTGAGAACTGCGACTGCTGCTTCCTGCCCTGGAGATAGAGATGTTGTGGTTTTATTCTTGTTTTCCTGTGTCTCTGCAGCGGATTTGAACAACATCAAGTTCTCGGCATATCGGACGGCCATGAAACTCCGGCGGGTGCAAAAAGCCCTTCGATGTGAGTGTGGGAAGGGTTTCTCTCCTGTTGGGCCTCCCTCAGTGAGGGCATTAAACTAACACAAGCTTTTATCAGCACATCAAAGGCAGGAGGCACCAGGGGACAGGTAGCTGAGGCGAGAAACCAGGAAGATCAGCCTGGGAAGCTGAGCAAATCTCAGTCTGTGTCAGCGCCTTTCTTTACAGGCTTGGGGTGGAAATGACTCAAGGGCAGGTGTTAGCCAAAGGGATATGAGAACAAAGTGGTCCAGCTCAGGGTTACAAAGCTGTGGGATCAGGCAGGGGGTCACGAAGCAGCTCCAAAGGAACATGGAGAAGGTGTGGATATAACTGAGAGATGAAACCAGCCTCACTGGCAGGGACAGAGAGGGATTCACTGCTTAAAGGGGAGGGAGGGAGCCAATAAACCTGACTTCTGCACTCTTGGTGAAAACTGGAGGATTAATAGCTGGGTGAATTTAATACAACAGGAGTTCAAGCATCTCTCAAAGAGGTAGCTGCTTCCTGGAAACTGCTGAGGAGTTTCTGGTGGAACTGGCAAGCAGGCAGATGGGAATCTGATAGATGCACCATCCTTGGCTGCTCAGAGCTTTAGACAAAGCCTCTCACCTAAAGCTCTGTCAAAATTAAGCAGCAGCAGGCTGAGGGAAATCCTCCTCCTGAAGTAATTGTTCATGGAGGGGAGGAGGTACAGCCAGGCAGCAGTGGGGTCCCAGGCAGACCTGTGCTCCTTGGCATCCTGTGAAAGGGCTGGAAGGCAATGAGTCAGGGTAAGAGGAGGTTGGGTTCTCAAGGAAGTCAAACCCTGGCTGTGGAGCATTTCCATAACACTGTGGTGATCAGGCTGTCCAGTACCCAGGCACATTCAGAGGTGATGTAATGCAAATGGAAGAAAGCAGTAGTTGGCTTTTGCCACCCTGTTAAGGTGTCCATGCAGCAGCAGGCAAGGTGTGGAGAGGAAACAAGGACAAAGAGGAGAGCCCTCATGTGTTCTGCTTTTGCATCTTTGGTTGTGTATCTCTAGCATCTCACATGCTGCACTGTCGCTTTTTTTCCACCCCAGAAATGACTTGAATAAGTGCTCTTTACTCAAGATATACTTGAGGAAAGGGCAAGGAGGTTGCCAAGGCAGCTTTCCCATAATGAGAAGTTTGGTAGAGTGGCTGTGTAGGAAAGAGGTAGTGAGGGATAGATCAGAGCCATATGCAGTCGTGGGCAGTGTGGACACGAGGGTGGGCAGGAGCGATACTCCCTGGCACAGGAACTGGGGCTTCCCAGTGCAAGTGTAGCAGCTTTGACAGGAGAAGGGAGGATCTTTTCAGAGTGAAGTTACAGTGTGGAAAAGGCACACAATCCCCTAGGTACAGTGAATTTAAATGGTCTCAAAGATGGAAAGACTTTCAGGAAAGAAATATTGCTGGTTGCTGACACAATAGAACGTACAACCTGCAGCTGTAGAAATCTGAAAGCAGAGCAGCCGGGGCAGCTCATGCTGTCCTACCCCTGTTTTGGGTTTGTGTCTTAACTCTCTCACCCATGCAGAGCTGGAAATGGGACTGATCCATCTCTGGGCAGTTGCTTGTAGAGCCTGTGTGGGTCTGTGCCCCCTCACCAGCCCCACAAGGCCTGGCATGTGCAAGGAGGCCAGCACTGGGCTCTGCACAGAGCCTCCCATGGCTAGCATTTTCATGGCCATGGCTGGACACAGCAATGAGGAAGGAAGGTCATGGAAAATGGTGGGTCAAGGTAGAGATGTGGTATTTTGGGAGAAGTTTACAGGCAGGAGAGAAATTCTAGGAGCTATACCCATCCTACCAACATCTTTCCCAGTATGGTGGGACTAACACTGCCCCAGATTAGGGCAGGACTGCATCTCTCTCCTCTTGGTTCTCACCTCTCTCATCTCCCCTCTTTCCCTCTGATCCCTCTGCCTGTGCTTTCTGTGCAGTGGACATGGTCACCCTGGCCACGGCTTTGGAAATCTTTAATGAGCACGACCTGCAGCCCGGTGACCGGGCAATGGACGTGGTGGAGGTCATCCACTGCCTGACCGCCCTCTACGAGCGGCTGGAGGAGGAGCGGGGCATCCTGGTGAACGTGCCCCTCTGCGTGGACATGAGCCTCAACTGGCTGCTGAACGTCTTTGACAGGTACCTGTCCCTCGGTGTCCCCTGAGCCCTGGGGCTGCTGTGCTTGGGAGGAAACCTCCCTGCTGCTCTTCCAGCTGAGGGGAGGCTGCCTGGCGTGTGCTTGCCTTGATGATCCCCCTGCCAAGAAAACCCACTCTGGAACATTTGCCAACCTGTGCAATGTCTTGTCCTGCAGTGGCCGCAGCGGGAAGATGAGAGCTCTCTCCTTCAAGACGGGCATCGCGTGTCTGTGCGGGACAGAGGTCAAGGAGAAGTTCCAGTGTGAGTCCCTTGAACCTAGAACCTGGTGGGAATTCACCTTGGGAAAACAGGAGTAGTTTTGTTTCCTGGCTTAGACCATCCTTGCCCAGTGAGAACAAAGAAAAAGCTTTCCTGCAGTGACTAAGCTGCTTGCATCATCACCTCTCCCTCCCTCCCTAGGCCTACGCCACCAAGATTAGGAGGCGTTTTTGTAGACTGACAGGTGCTGCAGTGATCTTGCTTGCATGGCACTGTAAGGAACAGTGCAGAGAAGGCACGCAGGAAAGTTATCCAATGCTTTCCCGAAGGAGCATACCAAGGGGTGCATGGCTGGGGGGGAAGCAGGTTTCAGGCAAGTTGTTTTCCTCACTGCATTTTAACCATGGAATGTTGTGTAGCATAGGGAGTACCAAGGGGTTAAATAAAGGGATCGGGCTGATTCACAGAGGACAAGCTAGCTGGGGCTGTTTAACAAATGCTGTATGTAACCCCTGTCCGAAGAAGATGCTAAACTGGTTATTAGGAACTGAAAGGATATTGGTGAAAGTTATTTAATCATAGCTCAGGTTTCTCCTCTTACTGGAGCTCTCTGCCAGAGGTGGCCAGTGGGTCCCTGGTGTGGCCCACGCTCTGCTCCCAGTGCCTGCCTGGTGCTGGGTGTCAGCTGTGTCTGCCGTGCCCGCAGATCTCTTCAGCCAAGTGGCGAACGCCGGGGGACTGTGTGACCAGCGGCACCTCGGCGTCCTGCTCCACGAGGCCATCCAGGTCCCACGACAGCTGGGGGAGGTGGCAGCTTTTGGGGGCAGCAACGTGGAGCCCAGCATCCGCAGCTGCTTCCGCTTCGTGAGTGCGGGGCCACGGCCCTCGCCCCGTCTGCAGCAGCTGTGCTGGGGACAGGCTCCCGAGGTGGCAGGGGACCTGCACCCCGCCACGGCTGGGAGCCAGCTCTGAGCAGCCCCTTCCTCTCCCCTCTCCAGAGCAATGGGAAGTCTGCCATTGAGGCATCCCAGTTCCTGGAGTGGGCCAACCTGGAGCCACAGTCCATGGTGTGGCTGGCGGTGCTGCACCGGGTGACCATGGCCGAGCAGGTGAAGCACCAGACCAAGTGCTCCGTGTGCCGGCAGTGCCCCATCAAGGGATTCAGGTAAGGGTTCTGGTACGGGACCCTGGCCCCAAGGGAAGTGTGTCCTGCAGGAGAGAGCCCAGTTTGCTCTGTGCTCTTGGGGGAGCCTGGAGCTCTGCAGCCAGCAGTTTCAGGCTGGGCAGGGCAGGTGACAGCTAAGGGGAAGGGAGCAGAGTGCTCTTCTGGGGACTTCAGCCATCAACACTGTGGGTTCACTGCGGTGTTAGAGCAACACAGGCCACCTCTGTCCCTTCCCACTGACCTCTTCTTGGGCTTTAAACATGTTTTACTGACCTCCAGTGCTTCCCTATGGCCTCTTGACCTCTCCAGGTATCGGAGCCTGAAGCAGTTCAATGTGGATATCTGCCAGACCTGCTTCCTCACCGGGCGAGCCAGCAAGGGCAACAAGCTGCACTACCCCATCATGGAGTACTACACCCCGGTATGGAGCTGGGCTGGGAGGGCCCTGGCTCAGAGCAGGGCCCACTGATGGCAGCAGCCTTGTGATGCTTAGGCTGGTACAGCCCCACAAGTGGATCCCTTGTGTAGTTTTGTACCCTCTGCATGCTGGAGGCTGCCTGTGTCCCTGCTATTCTGGGGCTCTCGTGGTGAGCAGGATGCTCAGTGCCCAGCTTGGCCCCATGAGAAGCTTACAGAGCTGCTGTGTGCCCTCCTTGCTTCCTCAGTTTTATCTGCCTCTTGCCTGTGGAGCTCATGCCCAGCCTGAGGGGATATCTTACTGTGGGTGCTGGTCCCCCACTTTTCATTAAACAGGCACCTTTGTCATATTTGTGTCTCTGCAGACCACATCCAGTGAGAACATGAGGGACTTTGCCACGACACTGAAGAACAAGTTTCGCTCCAAGCAGTACTTCAGCAAGCACCCACAGAGGGGTTACCTGCCCGTCCAGTCTGTGCTCGAGGCTGACTTCTCTGAGACGTGAGTTGGCTGTGCCCTGGGTTGTCTTTTGGCCCAGAATGAGACGTGGGTTCTGTGGATGGAAAGAGCATCTCAGCTTGTACAGGGCTCCTGGGGGAGGGCTCTGGGGGTGATATGGCACCTTGTTCTTGAAGGAATGGAGATTTCAGTCTCTGTCCAACCCATCCCTGGCTCTTCTCAGCCAGGTGAGATCAGTCTCTCCCAAGCCCTGCTGACCAGAGTGCATCTCTTGCAGCCCAGCCTCCTCCCCGATGTTACCACACGCCGACACACACTCCCGGATCGAGCACTTTGCCAGCAGGTACCACCACTGGGCTCTGCTGCCCTGACTGGGCACAGAGCATGACCCTGATGGGTGTGGGGTGGGCTTTGGGGCAGATATATGGTCACAGACCTCCCCACCCGCCCCAGCATGCTGCAGAGGCAAGCAAACCTGCCTGGAATATGGCTGATGCTGTGTAAATTGGCAGCAAGGACCATGCATTTGACAGCAGATGTCTCGGTGGTGTAGCAGCCTCCATGTGCTGTCCTGCTCTTCCCAGTGTGAGCTGCTGGATGGATCCTCAGCAGGCACATCCCTCTGTGTCTTGTTGTGCTCTGTGTCCTCACTGGAGCTGTTTGCCAGCTTCCCACTGCTGCTGCCTTGTGGTTTGTAGTGCCTCTGTCCTTGCTGTGGGGACCCAAGGGGTACAGGGAGCCTGTACTTGTAGCTCAGGTCCTAGGCAGGAGCTGGAATTCTTACACTGCTTTCCTTTGCTTGTGAGAGAGGAGGATGAGCTGATTGCACAGCAGCAGCTCTTTATTCTAGAGATTCTGACTTACAGCCAGAGCAGCAGTGTATTTTGGTTTTTAAAAAGGCAAAACTCTCTAGAGGTTGTACAGAGGGACAGACTGGTGCAGGCCAGGTGGGAGACCCTGACAGAGAGGACTCTTGCAGGGGCTGCTGCAAGTAGGATGCACTGAGCAGACATTTAGGGTGTCTCTGACAATATCTCAACCTTTACCTCTTCCTCCCAGGCTTGCAGAGATGGAAAGCCAGAATTGTTCCTTCTTCAGTGATAGCCTGTCCCCTGATGACAGCCTGTGAGTTCTCCTTTCCCTTCTCCTCACCTCCTGATGAGTCAGGGCTCCTGGGGCTCTATCCATGCCTAGCCAGGGTACAGAAATGCTTTCCTTCCCATTGAGTGAGAGGCTCTTGGGCACCCCCAGCTACCAGGGATGCTGAGCCCTTTCTGAGCTCTAGACCTGGAGCTGCCAGGAGCTCTGCTATGAAACTGCCTCCCTCCATGCTGTCCTTCCCCAAGGGCACACAAATCCCATGATTTTCCTAATTAAGGTGTTTCTCCACCTGCTGCAACAGGGATGAGGACCAGTACCTGCTGCGCCATTCCAGCCCCATCACCGACAGAGAGCCTGGGGGCAGCCAGCAGGTTCCAGGAAGCCTCAACATGGATGACAAGGGAGAGCTGGAAAGAGTCCTGGCCCACTTAGAGGATGAAAACAGGTAGAAACATGGACAATTCTGAAACTGGGGGTTATACCTGAGAGGGAGGAAGGGACTGGAGAAGCCTTGTAGAGCTCAGAGTGGTGCCAGGGGATGCTGCTGGGCCTGGAGGTGGGGGTTGCAGATGCTGAGAGGGCAGTTTTGGAGGGTGTCTAAGCAAGCTGAGCACTAAAACTCAGTGAGGGTGGGCTCTCCAAGGAAAGGAGATGACTTTATATTCAAAATATAAAAATATATTCCTTCCTACATCCACAGAACCTGTTCCCTCCTGAACCCCAAACAGGTTGAGGTGAGCCCAGGGCACTCTGTCTTTCTTGTCCCTGAGCCCCTCATGCACAGTGGTATTGCTGCTCTGGACCACACAGGGTGAGGCTCTAGGCAGGGCACACCAGCTCAGGAGGAGGTGATGCTTTCCCTGCCCTTGTTTTCAGCCTCTTGGGAAGTGGTTGCATACCTGTGCACCCCCTGTGTGGGGTAGAACCACAGCCAGGCCCCTCTGCAGTGCAGCATCCTGGCCCCTAAGCTTCACAAACAGCAAAGCTTTGTCTGAGTCGTGGGCCAGCCCCAGTGTGCAGCTCCTGGGTCAGTCTCTAGGAGGGATTGAGGGGATGCTGACCTGGGCTGTCCTGCAGGATCCTCCAGGGAGAGCTGAGACGTTTGAAATGGCAGCATGATGAGGCAGTGGAGTCTCCAACCTTGGCTACAGGCTCTCCTGAATCAGTGCAAGACCCGCGTAACGACGAGCTCCTGGCAGAAGCACGAATCCTCCGGCAGCACAAGAGCCGCCTGGAGACACGGATGCAGATCCTGGAGGACCACAACAAGCAGCTGGAGTCACAGCTGCACAGGCTGAGGGAGCTACTGCTGCAGGTTGGCTCAGAGCAAGGATGGGGTGGGTTTTACCACAGCAGAGCTGTGACAATGGCACTAAGGGCATGGGCAGAGCAGGGGAAGCCAAGGACAGAGGATCACGACAGCCTTCTCACAACAACTCTTCTCACTTCAGCCTCCAGCAGAGTCAGAAGGCAATGGTTCAGCAGCCTCGTCCTTGGCTTCATCTCCACATCAGTCAGAAGGCAGCCAGGCAAAGGAGAGAGAGCACAACACTCCTGACACTGAAACTGCAGGTGAGGTTTGGGCTTGGGCTGAGCCCCTGGCCCCGCTCCCTTGTTTCCATGCTGCAGGAAGCTGCCTGCTCCCTGCTGTCCTGAAGAGATGCAGGCAGTCAGGTGGATGTCCACTTTTCATACCCACCTGCCCTCCTTCCTGCTGCAGACGAGGTGGAAGCCAAAACCCAGGAAGTCAGCATGTGCCTGGAAGACATAATGGAGAAGCTGCGGAGCGCCTTCCCCAACTCTCGAGGTACTTGAGTGAAATCCTCCTCTCTTACTGCTCCCTCAGGTGAGGTTTTCCCCACAGAGCCCTGCCCTGGTCCCAGCTTCCCTGCGACAGCTGATGACCCACAGTGCTTCAGCCAAGAGCTTTGCTGCTGCAGTGCTGCTGGGACAGGAGCGTGGCCTGGGAACGGAGGAGGAGGAGGAGGAGGCTTCACACCTGCAAGGAGAGGAGATCAGAGCTGCCAAGAGCACAGACCAAACAGATCCCTGTGATGAGCTGCAAGGCAGCCTCCTGCCCTGCTGAGGACCCTGCACTCCATGGGGCTCCCACCATGAGGATGGACAGACCTGTCAGCACCACCTGCAGCAACAGCTTTGAGCCACCTCCTGGCTTCATCCCTGTCCAGACCCCTCTGCAGGAGAGGTTGAGGCCCCAGTAGCCTGGTGAGATGGAAGCAATGGTGCAAGCTCTCCTGGCTGCTCATGGATGGCTCTTCCCAGCAGGGATGGAGACTGGGGGATGTGTGTGCGAGTGGCACCCCACTCAGCGAGGTTTTGGTGTTGGTCATTCTGCTCTTTCCCTCTGTGCTCCAGTGCAGGAGCAGCACTCGGTCTCTTGCCCAGGCTGCCAGAGGGAGACATTGCTTGGTGCCAGCACTAACATGAGGTGGTGGTCTGCCCATGCAGACTCTTGCCCACTTTCTGCCATCCCTGAGCAGGATCCTTCTGGCTCTGCAGCAGCCCCTTTCTAACCAGGTGGCTCTGGGTCCTGCTTTCCTGACCTGTCTATTTCTCTTTCAGGTATGACCTCCCTTATCTAACACCTCCTGTGAGCCAGAGGCTTTTCCTAACCAGCTACCTGGCTGCTTTCCTCCCCCTCTCTCCCTGCCATGCTCCCTGTGCTGCAGCAGCCCTCACACAGACTCCCTCCGAGCTGGTGGTGCAGGATGCTTGCCAGCTCCAGAAGATCTCAGGGGAACATAGGTCATGCAGGAGTGGGACTGTGGGCTCCCCAGCAGGCTGGTTTGGTCACACAGTGGCTGAGCCTGGGTGGGATGGTTCAGAAGAAAGAGCTGAAGCCATGAAAACTGCCTGTCTCCCCTGGCACCCGTGGGCTGCTGCCTTTGCCTGTAGCCCTTGGGGGATGCAGAGCTCAGCATCCCACTCTTCATTTGTGCCCAGGAGCCTCCAGGTCTATGGGCATCAAAACACTCCTGGAGCCACACAACTTTTAAAATAACTCTTTATAGCAGTAACCAGCTGCCAGCCTTATGGTTTGAACTCTGCCACCCAAGGCTCTGCAGCCAGCCAGGCACATACCACCAGGAGAGAGTCTGTGAGGTTTATGGAGTAGGGATTGAGTCCATGTTAGAGCTTCAGCCCAGCTAGTAGCCTTATATTGAGAGGGTCTTTATAACAGAGCCTTATTGTTTAATTTGCATATATTTCTATATATTATATATATATATACTGTACTTAAACACTCTCATGGACTCACTCTATTAAACTCTAATACCTTAAGTGTAGCTGCCCTTCACTTTCAGACCAGCCCAACTTCTGCTCCCAGGGGAGCCAGCACCTTCCCTGTTGCTGGTGTTGCCTTGCAGGGCTGCTGTGAGGGAGCTCAGTGAGGGCTGGACCCACAGCAGGTACTTCATCCTGACTGGTTTCCTGGGAATCTGTGCCTTTGCCATGGCACAGAGAGCCTGTCCTGCACAGACCCAGCTCCATCCCTGGGGAGCCTCAGGGGTTTCTCCAGCCACACTCCAGCCCTGGGGCCACCTTGGTCTGGTGCAAGTGCATGGCAGTGTGGGTGGGCAGCAGGACAGGCAGGACCCCTCCTTGCTGCCCCCAGGGAGCAGCTGCCCTGCTGCTGTCCCCACCTTTGAGTTGAGTGGGGGGCTGGAGGCCCTGGTTGGGAGGGGTCCCATGGGGCAGTGCAGGGAGGCTGTTCTGCCAGCTGGCAGGGCAGCTTGGGGCTGGTGGCTCCAGGTCCCCAGGGGTCCCTCGGGCTGGCTGTCTGGTGCTGTTATGTCGAGAAAGAGGCAGAGTCAGGTGCTGCAGGGTAATCCAGAGCTGGGGCTGAGATGGCCCTGGTGCTCTGGAGACACAGGGTGTGGAGAGATGAGAGGCTTGAGCCCTCGGGAAAGGGTAGGGCTGCACACTGAGGTGAAACATCCGATTTAAACAGGGCTTGCAAGGACAGAGCCAGGGCTGTTGTTGCTGGCTGGGATGGGACATCATACTGAACTCTCTGGGGAGGTTGTGACCAGGGCAGGGTGTCAGCCCAGGGCTGTGGGCTTGGCTCTGGGGTGTTGGCAGAGGTGAGGAGCAGTTCCCACACCAAGGACAAAGTGGTGTGAGCCTTACAGCCCGGACTATTGAGCATGTAGTGCTCCAGTGTCTGCTGGCAGCAGTGTGGGTGGCTGTCCTTGCTGTCCCCTGCCCTGGCCAGGTGAGTGGCAGGATGGCAGTGTGGTGGCATTAGGGTGGCTTTGGGCATGCTGTGTCAGGCTGCGGGTGAGAGGGACCACAGGCCAGCCTGTGAGACCCAGCTGGACCCCTCTGTTATCCCAGGGACACGGGATGGAGCCTGGGGAGCAGCAGAGTGAGGCTTGGCCTGAGGGTGTGGTCAGGAGTATCCAGCCTTGGGGGGCACTGGAGGAAGAAAAAGGGCAGGATGAGGACAGAGCTGCTGGCCCCAGTGGCAGGTGTGGGGAGCAGAGATGGCCAGGTTGGGTGCTTGGGCTGTGTTTGGGAGCCAGGGTGTGTCAGGGAGGGGAGCAGGGTGGCTAATGCTCTGGTAACCATGTACTGTGGTGCTGCTGTCCTCACTGCTTTGTGGCATCTCTGCTCTGGAAAGAGAATAAATTTGTATTTATACTGAGAGCTGAAAAAGTGCTCTGGCCTCCTCTATCTGTGCGTCTCGGCTGAGTCAGCTCCTGTTGCTGTGCCATCCTGGCACTGCTCCTGCAGGGCTGCTGGGACACTGTCACTGTGTCACCCTGGCTGTCCACGCCACTTGAGGCAGAACAGCAGCTGTGAGCAGAGCCCCAGGATCCCCAGACACAGGTTGTGTCCCCCAGCCACCCTCTTCATCCTCTTCCCACAAGGTCTGTTCAGGCCATGTGGCTGCCTGAGGGGTGGGACAGGGGCTGTGTGGGGACAGTCCCTCTTTGTCACCCAGGAATTTTGGCTGTAGGAAACCCTTCAGCCCCAGGCAGGAGGTAGAGAGCAGTGGGATGCTGGGCAGGCAGGGCAGTCCTTTCCCTCCCTTCTCTCTGGAGCTCCATGAAGTTTTCAGTGCCCAGAGGTATCTGGGTGCCTCAGGTGCTGCCCGTGTTCGCTGTGCCTTTGTGGCACAATAATTCAGATGAACAATAGTTCAGGGTAAGGCCAGGGGCTCTGGGGCTCTCACCACTGCCCAGACTTGGCTGATGGTGAAGCCTGCCCAGGACAGACAATTTTTGGGCTGGACCTGTTCTCACCCCTGCCTGGAAGGGCTGGCACTGCTGGGAAAACCCTGACACGGTGCCACTGCGGGGAAGTCTGGGGACACTTGTGCCAGAAAGATTCAGGAGCTTAAGAGGGGTGAAATGCAGCCTCCTTCACCACCCCTGTCAAGAGCAGCACAAAGTGCCCCATGCCTGTGCCACAGGCTGCAGGAGGTGTGCAGTGTGATCAGGGAAGCTGGGCACGTTCAGGAACAGATCCAGCCTCCGGTGCCAGGGAAGAGCTTTTATTTCTCAGCCAGGAAAGCTCGGTGGCGCCCAGCTGAAAGGCGCTGGAGCCAGGGCAGGGCTGCACAGTGGTGTCAGGGTGAGGACAGCATTGTTCCCCCGTCACTGCCAGGCCAGTCCCCAGCCCCGGGGCTCCCTCCCAGGGTACAGGAGCCCTGCTGCCTGTGCTGTGCCTCTATCGGTGGCCTGGCAGCTGTTCCCCCAAGCAGGGTTAAGTGGCCTGCTCAGGGCTGCTCACAGCCCTGCTCTTTGCTGCGCTGCTCCAGGGGTGCAGCATCCCCTGCTCTGGCTGCTAGGGGGGACGGGGGTGTTTTTGCTTCTCCACCCAGCTCCTCACCTTCCCCAGGGGTGAAGCTTTCTGTGGGGATGTTGGCTTCCCCAGCATTTTCTTGTCCACTGCCTGCTCCCTGCTTCCTGCAGCTCACCTCTTCCAGAGCCTCCCCAGATGTTTCATTCTCCAGCCCTTTGCTGGGAGGCCCCAGATGTGGGGCTGTCTTTGGCTGAGCCTGGGTCTCACTCCCTGTGCCAGCTCCCTCTGCTCCACTGGCTCCCTGCTCCAACCCCTGCACTAACCCTGCTGCCTTTGTTTCCCCTATTGTCCCCCAGTGCCCTGCTTCAGGCTTTTCTATTTTTGCTGGTAGACACTCTTTGTCCTTCTTCACTCTCCCTTTCACTACTGCCTCCTCCTCCCTCTCCTCTTTTTCTTCCTTTTCTTCTTCCTTCTCTACTTCTTCATCCTCTTTTAATTTCTTACCTTCTTCCTCTACTCCCCTCTCCACCCTCTCCTCCCTCTCCCCTTTGTCTTCCTTTTCTTCCATGTCTACCTCCTCGTCCTTCTCCAGTTTTCCATCTTCTTCCTCTGCCCCCCTCTCCACCTTTTCCTCTTCTTTTTCTTCCTTTTCTTCCTTTTTTTCTTCCTCTTTCTTCTCTTCCCTCTCCTCCTCTTTCTCATCTTCCTCCTCTGTTCCCAGACTCTCTGGCTTTACCCCACAGGTGCCCAGGTTTGCTTCTTCCCCCACTGCTGTCCAGTCCCTCCTTTCCACCTCTTCTCCCACAGGCTCTCCCCGGGCTTCTGCTCCTCCTGGTGCTGCCCCTTCACCCCCAGCCCTGGGGGTCCCTTGTTCTGCCTGAGGAGCCCTGGTTTGTTCTGTTACTTCAGTCTCAGCCCCCTGCTCCCCCTGCCCAGGGGTCTCCTGGACCCCAGCCTCACCCTGAGGAGCCCCATCACCCACCTCCCTGCTCTCCCACCCCTCACGGGCCTTCAGACCCTGGGATGACTGGAAGAGGCCCTGGTAGCGCTTTCGATCCTCCACGTGCTTCTTCCTCATCCTCTCGCCCAGCTGCTTCAGCTCCTTCTTCACCGCGGCCGCCATGGAGGGGTCGAGGTGAGCCACGCGCTGGAAGTCCTCCCGTGCCTCCCTCTCGTTCCAGACAGCAGCGTGGGCCTTTGCCCGCTT